GAAGTATGGAAATGGAACAACGAAACAAATCAGCTGGGGAAAATGGAAGATAGAGAAATTAATGAAATTACTTCCTCATCTTTTTCTTAAATAAATAACGTATGTCCTAAAAATTTTGGCACAAAATATTTATCGGATTTTTGTTAATGAAGAAATTTAACACTAACTAGTTATCATAAATTACAACTCAATACTTAAATAAGCTATACTATGGAATTAGGTGGAGTAGCCCATTCTGCTCTACCAGACGCAACTTTCTGCAAATTAATGTCCTGGACGGAATTCAGATCAAGTTCTCTCAGTTTTTCGTAAATTCGTCTTCATGTTATGCTTCCCAGCCTCCATAATAAACAAACAAAAGGTATGTTGTATTGTCAAAGCCGGGTTTGGGTATCTCTTGAGTAATGCCATGATGCTGGTCTGGCCAAAACATGATATGGTCATTAGCATGATGTTCGTGGACAAACTGAAGAAATTTGGAAAGGTAGTTATCAATATAGCTCAGACTATTCAAAGCTTCACCCCTTACTCTTCCCACAAAATATTGGGCCTCCAACCTCAACGGATTCCAAAATATAAGCCGTCCAAGTCGGCATAATGGAGTATCGGCCCTACTCAATTTCTGATTTAAGTGGAAGAGTGGCTTCGGTCAATTTCGCTGAATTACTAATATGTTATATGTCTTGGCGTCCTGAATAAATGCCTTAATGAGCACATGCTGCAAGATATAGGCCATCTGGGTCAGTATAATGGAGTAACCAGATCAAGTGAAAGAGTGGTTTCGGTTAATTTTGCCAAGTTCCTCAATATGTTATGTGCCTCGGCATCCTAAGCAAATGCCTCAATATAAAAGGCCCCAAAACTCAACGAGTTCCATAATATAGGACGTAAAAGTCGGAATAATCTATTGGTTATACTGGAATATATGCTTTAAGTGAAAGAGCGGGTTCGATTAATTTTGCTGATTTTTTTATGTTAAATATTTCAATAGTCACATGCCCCCAACCTCAACAGGTCCCAAGATATAGGCCGTCCAAGTCGGCATAATGGAGTATCGGCACTACTCAATACCTGCTTTAAGTGGAAGAGTGGTTTAGGTCAATTTCGTTGAATTACTCATATGTTATGTGTCTTCTCGTCATGACTAAATTCCTCAATAAGCACATGCCCCAAGACACAACGGGTCCCAAGATATAGGCCGTCTGAGTCAGTCCTACTCGAATATCTGCTTCAAGTAAAATAGTGGTCTTAGTTAATTTTCCCAAATTTTTCAATATGTTATGTACCTCGGCATCCTAAACAAATGCCTTGATAGTGACAAGCTCCAAAATTCAGTGTCCCAAGTCGGTATAATGGGATGTCGGATTTACTTAGATATCTGCTCTATCTAGAAGAGTAGTTTCGGTTAATATGATATGAATAATTTTTGAAATGTCATGTATCGCGTCATCCTGAACAAATGTCTCAAAGATCACATACAATTGAACCACCTCCCTTTTCCATTGTGGTTGGAAGAATTAGACGCAATTAAGTTTAATAGCAGGTAGGCCGACGAATCTGTTAACCGGCTACGACTTAAAAAGAGCGATGACAGTGACAGCTCCTAGTGTATTTTTCTATATAAGGGAGACTGCTATAGTCAAAATCACAAAAGATGACTATTACGTCATATCATAAATTGTACTGAAGTAATCAATGGACGTAGATCGATGAAAAAAACACGATGTCAGGAACATAATGACAACAACACACATACACACACACACACACACTGATTATTTTTATTTTCATTTTATTTCATGGTTTTGAGTGATACCTTAATAATAATTTCAGTGGGGAGTTTTTGTTTTGAAAAAAAAAATGAGTAGAATACCTTAAGACAGGGTCACCAAAGACCAAAATATTATTCGAAAACAACCTAACCTGCTTTAACATAACCCAACTTATCATCTTTCCAATATGATCGATCATGCAACATGAAAACATCGTCTATCTTTGTTGGATACATGCAAATTAGCAATACAGTTTGTTTAGACAATAAAATTCTGTTTGTCTCTGTCTAACATATCAGAAACTTCATCAAAAATATTCACAAATCGCTGTCGTTAGTCTTTACTACAGACTAAAGTGATAACGTAATCGTCATCTTTCGTGATTTCGACTATACATGCGCAGCCCCACATTGATCGAATACATTGTTGTGAGAGGACATTTTTAGGTTAATCGTCACTTGTTGCAATCTACAAACAGTTCATTACTAAGTACTGTACAAGCATTTCCTGTTTAGTTTTCCACTGCATTATATACTTTTTGTTGGTCGTTTCTCATATTTCATAGTTAATCGCGTTATGTTTTTGGTCTCTCGTTTTTCGTTTTCGTTTTCCATTTTCTGTTTTGATTTTTCATACTGTTTTAATTTCGTTATTTTTAGCATTACGTGTAAAGTTTTAATTTTGAGTTGTGCAGCTTGCATTTTATACTATAGCAGCGAGCATGGCGCAGCGCATGCCATGTTAAGTGTGTAAATCCAAAAGTGGAGGTTGCTATGAGGTACCGTGAAGAGCTGAACCACTCTGTTTTTGTGATAAACGATATATCACGGGTTTATTTTAACTGCGATTTATTACTTACACGGGACGGAGCGGCCTTGCAAAATCCCGAAAGTCTCAGGTTGGATATCCTTAGACAAAAATCCTCTGAAACATGTATGTTATATCATTTAAATTCAACTTTACTTTTAAAAAAATTTTATTTGAGGACAGTAGCTACTGTCCGTTACAAATTACAAGAGTCTCCCTCGGACCACAACTAGGATGACCTACTCGATTACCTCGCCGAACATCAATCACCCCGCTTCAGAGGTAGTTCTACTCGGTGATTTCAATGCCCATAATGAGCTTTGGTTGGGCTCAAACAAGACCGATGCAGCAGGTCGTGCAGTCGAAGCGTTCGCTCTTACTCAAGGGCTGACCAGCTGAGCCCTACTTTTTCCCCACGTCTCGTCACACGCCAGTAGCCTGCTGGATCTCGTTCTGACCACGCATCCTGTCCCTACAGCACTGCTGTCCTGTCCCCTGGGTAACTCAGACCACGGTGTTGTGGAGGTTAGGTTTCGGTCAGAACCCGCTGTGGCAGCAGAAACTCGTACAGGCCGCAAACTTGGCATTACGGACATGCCGACTGGGAGGGGCTCAGAGACTTCTTCTCTAGCTTTCTTGGAGAGATGTCTGTTTCACTGACGCGGATGCGTCGGACTGTCTGTTCTTCGATAACCGAAATTATCCACGTCGGAATGAGGATACATCCCTCACACAGTAAAGCCTAAACCAGGGTCCAACGGCTGGTTTAACAAATTGTGACGCTGCTCGCCAGCAGAAGATCAAGGCCCACAGAACCTCTTACAAAACCCCACTGTAGAGAACAGACAAGCCGACGTCGAGTCCAGAAACAAATATAACGAAGTGGTTCGCAATGCCAAAAACCAGCACGATATAAAAGTTAGGCACAGGGTAATGTGCAGCGCAATGGCAGTCGGTCTTTCTGGACGCTAGCCAAGCAGATTGAAAAGAACTTCTCACACAGTAGCCTTCCACCACTTACGTGTCAGGATGGAACGATTGTATCGACTCAAAGGCCAAGGCGGAAGTACCAAGATCTTTGCTGCCAACTCCACCATGGACGCCCCCCCAACGCCCAAGTGCCGTCAATCAAAGGGTTCCCACACTATGCGGGAGGTAACATTCAGGCACAAGACCGTAAGACGGTGCTCTTGTCGCTCGACATAACAAAGCTTCTGTCCGGACTTGATCCTGCCATTGTACTGAAGGTGTGCAGCGGAGCTTGCCCAGTTCTTCGCGTCTCTTCCAGATATCTTATGAATCCGGCACCTTCCCAGAAAACTGGAAATTTGCTCATGTCCAACCCATCCCAAAAAAAGGATCTAACCGACCCTACAACTACAGGCCTATAGCTCTGCTTTCTGTTATAAGTAAGTGATGGAGAGGGGATGAATCGCGAGCTTCTGGACTACCTCGAACGTCACAGCTTGATTAGCGACAGGCAGTATGGTTTCCGGCACCAACGATCCACAGGGGACCTCCTAGCTACGTCACGCAACTGTGGAGTAAACTCATCCAGTCTATGGTGAGGCTCATGTCGTTGCTCTTGACATCACGAAGCGTTCGATCAGCTGTGGCACGCTGCCCTCTTAAGCAAACTTCCATCCTATAGCCTCCAGAAAAGCTTTGCAGATGGGTGGCTGACTTTATCTCTGGCCGCAAGATATCCGTCGTAATTGACGGTTCTCCTCTTCATCCCACAACGTCAACGCGGGTGTTCCCAGGGATCGGTCTTGGCTCCAACACTGTTTCTCTTACATATCAACGACCTCCTTTCCTGCACGAACAACCCAATCCACAGCTTCGCTGATGACAGCACTCTACATGCAGGAATTCAGAGTGACAAGCGATCTCTGCCGCTGTGCTGGAAAGAAGAAGACTGCGACGACTTCCTCTCTGACAAGAGACCTGGAGGCTATCACTGCTTGGGGACGCAACAATCTTGCACAGTTCAACGCTTCCAAATCACAATACTGTACTTTGACGAACAAAAAGCGTCCTAGCGCTCATCCGGTTTCGATGGATGGCCGAGTTCTGCCAAAGAGCCATTCCTTTCGGCTAGTCGGAGTCCATATCATCGAGGACCTGATCTGGCACGAACACATCTCCAATAGCAGCAGCTGCTGGGAAAAAGCTAGGCTATTTGTTTAGGGCTAAGAAGTACTTTTCTCCGCATGACCGTCTCACTCTATACAAGGCCCAGATAAGGCCTAGCCTCGAGTATTGCTCACACGTTTGGGGTGCTGCCGCCCCGACTACATTACCCATGCTGGATGCTGTCCAGAGGAGGGCGGTCCGACTGATCGATGACTGTTCTCTAACAGACAGTCTCGAGACCCTTTCGCACCAGCGAGCCGTCGGCGATCTAGCTCTTTTCTACGGCTACACCAACGGGATTTGCTCCTCAGAGCTCTCTTCCATGATGCCGACACGCGACATTGTCTGTAGGTTAGATGTAGACGTCCTCTCGTCAAACAGCCATCTGGTATTTTTGTGAATCACACGGTTTCCCCAGGTTGATTCCCAAAACTTTTTCATGGCTTCTGGTGTGGGGACCTTATTTTCTTGCAGGGTTTCAATCTCGTGATCTTCAGACTCTAAATTCTTATAAAAGCTCCTTTCACTCCTGCTAAACTGACTATTATGTTGACGTCTTGTGTTGCTTTCCTTATACCATCGGAGTTTTTTAGCCATAGCCTTGAGTTTTTGTTTAAGGTGATCCAGTATTTCTGTTGCTGTTGGATTTTCGAGGCTTTGTTCCCTTTCAAGAATGGCTTTGGCTTTCTTAGTGACTGAGCTGCTGGGGTTCAAGCTTTGATTTTGTGTCAGAATTCCTATGTCCCGCCTGATACTATCGATTTTATTAGTAATTCGGCGGTGCCATGCTGGCGTGACTGGGACATTTTTAACTTGAGTGTCCGTGGAGATTTTCTGTTTGTTTAGTGTTAGCACCGCTGCTGCTCTACTATAAATAAGGCTGTGTAGATTTTCGATGGGTATACCAGTTGTTATTTTGGAATCCAGAATTTTGTTGATTTCACCCAATATAGATTTTGCCTTGTTATTATAAATTATTTTGGGAAGTCTAGGTTTCATCATAGGGTCCATTCCATCATAAAGCAAATGAACCCTTTCGAATTCCAGCTCAGCAGCAGATGGTGGTCTGTTGGCTTCCGGTACTGAGGCCGCTGGTTCATCGTCAGCAGGTAAATTTATAGATAGTTCTATCGCAACTTCGCGCTTTATTTTTGTGTAACAATACCTGGTGTTAGGCGTCTATTTATAAATATAGATCTTCGCTGGTCTATGATATTTTGTATAGTCTTGTGACGAAGCATTGGAAATTTTTCAATTACCAGTCTATGTAGTTCTCGGCTGTATGGAGTTTTTGGCGGTTTCTAGTCGGGTTAATCTGTAATAGCAGCGAACCATGAATGCATTGATGTCTTCTGTCCACATGGTTCTTTGCCTAACTGTGCCTTGTGACGTGGTGGGCATGGGCTCTGATGGCCCAGCAACACCGACATCTTGGCTTGGTACGTTTGGTGGTGGTGGTGTATTCGACTGGGTTGGTAATCTGGTTGGTCATTGTTCATTGCCGCGGTAGGTTGCAGGTAAATCTTCAAGACGGTTCCGACCCGGCTTCTGCTGCGCCGGCCCGCCTGAGTCTCTTATTTCTCGTTTTAAGAGCATTTAAATATACACGTTCTAGGGGGTGCTAACCCATAGAGCGGTGGTACTAGTTTTTGTCCATCCCGGGTATTTTATTTCCCCGGTACCCTCCATATCTGGAGAGCGTTTCCCAATTCGCACAGGGAGGCGCCCGATGGGAGACTAGCAACTCCACACGGGTATTATTATTATTATTATTATTATATTATTATTATATTATTATTATTATTATATTATTATTATTATTATTATTATTATTATTATTATTATTATTATTATTATTATTATTTCTCCCTTCGCATTCCCTTTCCTCGGAAAGAGATCACTTTTCCTACGGAGAGCAAACCATACTCCTAGTCTATTATTATTATTATTATTCCGGTATCTCACAGACTCCCACGGTTGCTGCACTCGCGTTAGGGAATTAATTCGCTTTATACCATTGCGAAAAATGCCTTTACAATATGGCAGGTCAGTAATAAGGATGCCTTTTGCATGCTATTAAAACGTTGTCAAATCTAATTAATTTATTTAAGTAGAGAGTCTATTTAAAACCACCCTTTCATAGATACTACCCACGGTATGATTTTTATTTCTTGTTGTTTCCAGGCACATTTTAATTGAATAGCTAAATTCCTGTATTGATCATATGATGATATTCTATTGCGGCAAGATTAAACATCAACGAGATAGCTATATCTATACTAAGTGACATATAAATCCGAACACCCAGTTTAAATGGTTTTATTTTAATGAAATTTTGTATAAGTACTTAATGAAGCATAATAAGTAAATGATGAAAATTTCAAAATGATTGCACTGCTTTAAAGCCCTTTGACCTTTAATAATGTGTGGATGCACCCTGATGTGCTACGCATTCTCCAACGCGCCTAGGCATGCTTCTGATCAGGTGGTCAATGTCCTCCTGTGGTATCTCATTCCAGGCAACCACCAACTCCTCTCGAAGTGCTTCTAGAGTCTGAGGAGGACGTTGCAAATTGAGCAATCTCCTACCCATCATATCCCACACGTGCTCAATTGGGGATAAGTCGGGAGATCTTGGTGGCCATGGTAACAATGTGACATCATTATGTTGAAAGAAGTCTATTGTGACTCTTGCAACACGTGGTCGGGCATTATCTTGTTGGAAAGTTGGATCTGCCAGGGTGTCAAGATAGGGTAAAAGAAGGGGTTCTAGAACTTCGTGGATATAACGCTGCGCGTTCATGTTACCTCTGATGAAGATTAAAGGTGACCTGGTGCCATAAGCTATAGCACCCCAAACCATAACTCCAACGAATGAGAAGTTTTGGCTTGTTTTCATACCGGCCACACTGGGTCCTCCCTTTAACTCGAGAACACCGACGTAATCGCCTTGAGTGGTGCAGACAACGGTCACTCTGGGATCAGGAATGGAACAGTATTGTCTTTAGTGACGAATCTCGATTTTGTTTAGGCATGCACGATGGTCGTGCCAGGGTTAGAAGGCGACGTGGTGAAAGGAGGAATCCACAGTTTTTTGTTGAAAGACATGTTCATCACACTGTTGGAGTTATGGTTTGTGGTGCTATAGCTTATGGTTCCAGGTCACCTTTAATCTTCATCAGAGGTAACATGAACGCGCAACGTTATATCCACGAAGTTCTAGAACCCCATCTTTTACCCTATCTTGAAACCCTGGCAGATCCAACTTTCCAACAAGATAATGCCCGACCACATGTTGCAAGAGTCACAATAGACTTCTTTCAACATAATGATGTCACATTGTTACCATGGCCACCAAGATCTCCCGACTTATCCCCAATTAAGCACGTGTGGGATATGATGGGTAGGAGATTGCTCAATTTGCAACGTCCTCCTCAGACTCTAGAAGCACTTCGAGAGCAGTTGGTGGTTGCCTGGAATGAGATACCACAGGAGGACATTGACGACCTGATCAGAAGCATGCCTAGGCGCGTTGGAGAATGCGTAGCACATCAGGGTGCATCCACACATTATTAAAGGTCACAGGGCTTTAAAGCAGTGCAATCATTTTGAAATTTTTATCATTTACTTATTATGCTTCATTAAGTACTTATACAAAGTTTTATTAAAATAAAACCATTTAAACTGGCTGTTCTGATTTATATGTCACTTAGTATACAACGTAGCCTTATTGATGTTTTTGTCTACCAGCACTATATCTGGCCTGTTAAAATCTACGCATTTGTTTAAGATAATTGGAGTGATTATTGCTGTGTCTAGTGTTCTAAAGTCCCGAAAACTGCAGTTGTCCTCTGAAGAAGTCGAACAGCTATTTGTCGAAGTGAAATTTTGCAAGAAAACCATCATTTTTGGAGCTGTCTATGTTCCACTAAATTCTTCATCAGTTAAATATGACATCCATTGTTTATCTCTTCTTGAAATTTCTGAAATTTGTCCGGAGGTAACTCGGAATAATGATGATGATTATTTTGTCCATTGCCCTGAGAATTCAGCGGCACGTAGATTGGCAGAAACATTCTCAATATATCACAACTCAATAATGTTCCGAATGAGCGTAATGTGTTTCTAGATTTACTGTTTTCTAGTTTGGTTTATATCAATGTGTTACCAGCTTATTATTTTACTGCCAGAGAGCCTATACCTTTACAATTTTAGCAAAGTGTAGTCAATCTGATTTTGATGATAGCGGATAAAATTCCTGTTACCCTAAATGGTTCAGCCCTGAACTTAAAGATCTAGTCTGTCGAACAAGATCGCCCATAAGATTTTTATAGAAACAATCCAATATGAGGACTATGTGACTTTCTCAGGGTTACGCTCTTTATGTAAAGAAGAACATAAGCGATGTCATGCAATTCATATTGATCGAGTTCAGGAATCTTTGGTAGCCGATCCACAGCGCTTTTGGGGTTACGTAAAGAGTTTAAGAAATTTAAGTAGCTTACCTAATAGTATGCACTTAGAGGGAGTTAGAGTGCAAGATGCCAAGACAATAAGTAATTTGTTTGCAAAGCACTTTAGCGGTGTATATGATCGTTCTGTACATCCTGTAACCTCTTTTTTATTTGAGAAGACAGGACTACTAAACAAAATTTCTCTTGGAGAAGTATGTGATAAAATCGTAAGTCTCCCAGTGAGGTTCAGCTCGGGTCCTGACCAAATTCTAGAGGTTTTTGTCAAACAATGTATCTTTACACTTACTTTTCCTGACACTTGGAAGCACAGTTATATTAAGCCAATTTTTAAGTCAGAAGATGTTGAAGATATTAGCAATTACAGAGGTGTATGTACCCAATCATCAATTCCGAAACTTTTTGATAGCTTGATATATGATCAACTTAACTGGTATTGCCGTGATCTTGTAAGTAGCAATTTGGGTTTACTAAGGGTAGATCAACTATGGAGAATTTGGTGTCTTATAAAGTTGAAAGGGTCACCTGGTGGATGCAATCTACACAGGCTTTTCCAAAGCCTTCGACAGAGTGAACTTCGAGATTCTGTTGGCAAAGCTGTCAGCTTATGGTTTTTCAGAAAACACAATAAGATGGTTGGAGAGCTTGCTTAAGGGTAGGACCCAATCTGTTAAAATTAGTGGACATCTGTCTTCGATATTCAAGGTTACATCAGGGGTTCCTTAGGGGTCCCATTGTGCTCCTCTTTCCTTCATTTTGTTTGTGAATGACATCCCTGATGTTCTTATTCATTCCAAAGGAACTATGTTTGCTGATGACCTGTAGGACAGTAATGGAGAAAGATGACATGGTGGACCTTCAGCGGGACCTTGATGCGCTGTGGCAGTGGACACAGCTTAATCACTTGTATCTGAACTCTAATAAATGCTTTTTCATAAGTTTTTTCAAAACTAAGAATAGATTTTCAACTGGCTATAGATTAAATAATGATACGCTCTCTTATAAGGTTACCGCTAGGGATCTTGGAGTGCTTTTTGATGAAAGGCTTAACTTTTCAGACCATGTCCTCAAAGTTAGTATAAAGGGCATACAGATGCTGGGCTTTGTTTGGAGAAACTGTAAGTGTTTTTCAATCAATACCATCCGAATTTTATATTGCTCCTTGGTAAGATCAAATTTAGAATATGCCACAGTAGTATGGTCCCCTCAGTACCAGTGTTATAAAGATGACTTAGAGCGTGTCCAGTATAAATTTTTACGGCTTACAGCATTAAAGAGGAACTTAAACATGACAAGATTTTATTGGGGATCACCGATTGCGAAACTTGGTTAACATTAATCAATCTTAATGTACCCCGTAGATTGCGTAATAGTAGTCTGCTTGCGATTAAGTTCCATCCCACAACCTATGGTCAGCACTCTCCACTAGATCATTTCGTGATATCAATTTAGCTCAGTCTAATATTGACATTTTTTCCTGTACACTCTCAGGCTTTAAAAATTATCTTTTAAATTGTGATTTTTATAATTATGTCTTGTGAGCTTGCATGTTGTAATGTTGTTCCCATTTTATGATTTTATTTTGTAAAAATAGGGTCGGTCTCTAGGTAGAGATACCT